CTCCTCGGGCCCGGGCACGCGTTGGCCCCTCGACTCGGCCCGAGACGGCGCAGGGGTCCGCTGCGGATCCTGGAGCAGCAGCTAGGGAGGAAGGGAGAAAGAGTTATAGATAGAGAGAGAGAGAGAGCACAAGGGAGAGGGGAGGGAGGGAGGGAGGGAGGGAGAGCAAGAGAAAGAGAGAGAAAGAGAGCACAAGAGAGCGACTCGACCCGGCTCGGCTCGTGACGGCACGGAAGTGGCCGCTGCCGATCCTGGAGCAAGAGCTAAGACATGAGATGGAGAAAAAGAAAGAGAGACAGAGAGAGAAATAACTATACATATATACAGTATACGCATATCAAGAGGCCGATGACAAATAATAGCATTTTCACTCAACGATTCTGCAACAGGTGGTCCGCTCCCATCTCGCGTAGAGGATAAGAGAGGTCTAGCAGGACAAACAAGGGGGCCACAGCCGTTGGCACCTGCTCATCCTGCTCCACCTTCTCCTCCTCCTTTTCCTCCTCCTCCTCCTCCTCCTCCTCCTCCTCCCGATGACGGGCAAGGTCGTGACCGAGGACGCTTCTCTTTCTCTCTCTCTATCTCTCTCTTTCGGCAAGGGGGGGCTGGTCGAGTCTACGGCAACACTCGCTGCCGTTTCTTTCACTCTCTCTGGGGCCTCCTCTGGAGGCTTCTCCTCGCCACGGCTGTATCCTCCTCGACAGCCGGGTCAGAATGGACCCCAGGAAGCCTCGGGATGCCTCCAGCAGCTGCGCCTCGCCGAGAGCGTTCCAGGGGTTGCCCGAAACGTCCTGAACGGCCGCCAGGCGATGACGCGAAAGCCAGAATATCATGTCGGTCCTTCCCGGCGTCTTTCGTCCTGTTTCAGACATCCTTGAGGCTTTTCGTCGCCACGGCAGGGTCGCCTTGATCAGGATGGACCCTGGTCGGGGTCCGGGAACCGATTTGAACGGGTTTGGGCTGGTCAGAGAGCCGCCGCTGTCTCAACTGGCCCTCCTCCGACTCCTTGGCGCACTCGCCGAGAGCTACAGGCGATGTTCGCTCGGCGGTGGCGTGGAGAAGGGGGGCAAGTTCGCGGTGAACAACCGCGTCGTGATCGCGACCCGCACCGAGACTGGCACGAGGGGACTCGCCTGGCAAGTCCTCCCTCCTCCTCCTCCTCCTCCTCCTCCTCCTCCTCCTCCTCTTCCCCCAATGTTCTCCCGCCTCCTCCCCTACCGGAATGCCGCTACAGAGGCTGAATCGCCACGGCTGCGAATAGCTTCAGCTCTTCAAATGGCCCAAACCTTTAGTCTCGTTGCAGGAGGATTATCGACTGGGGGGCCTCGGGCAGGGAACGTCTTCGAGGACCTCCTCTGTATGCTGGCGATCTTTTTTCTAGGTCGGCTCGCACGTAGTATCTCCGATGCCGCAGTAATGGTCTGGCAAAGTGCGTTGCAACCAGCATTGGCCAGCAGTTGGCACACACTGGACATCAAATGTTGAATTCGCCAAGGGTCTCCGTGGCAGCGCGAGCGACCAACAACAAGAACACGCTCGTGAGGAACACAACTGCTTGATTGTAGGGGAACCAGCTTCGAGCTTCGAGCCGCTCTGCCGCTCGCGCGAGGGTCTGGAAACTCAATGCGGCCTCCACAAGCGATGACGCCCCATCCAGGAATAGGGTCCCTAGCGCCAATGTGGAGGGAGAGATAAACTTCAAATCACCTGGCCTCTCGCACGGGCACTCAGGAACTTCGCTCGACCTCTCGACTCCATGACGTCCCGGCCAGTACCTGGGAGGCCGTCCGCAGGCAGGAAAGACGTGCCGCCGTGCGAACTTTGGCGCACCAGCGGCCATCCAAAACGCAGACAGGAGGGCGTCGGGCACGGGCTCGCTTTACCCTCTCACACGCCCGGCTCAGAGCTGTCCGCTTGCAACTTCGCTGCGCCCGCGCAGGCAGCATCGGGGATGGACAGACCCCCCTTTAGTAAAACGTGGTTTAGTGAAAACGACCTGAGGCCCAAACCTGGCGGGCGCAAGCCTGGAAAATAACGGCCACGGCGCCCTCTCGAGAACCGAAAACGGACAATTCACTAATCGACGTGTCACTGTTGGGGGCTCTGTCCACCCCCGACAGCAACTGCACGCCACCGCCGCGTCTGCCCAAGCCCGTCCTGGAGCACCGTCCCGCAGCGGAGGGAGGCAGGGGCGGGCAGGCCGGGCGGCAGGCGCGAGGGGCGGAGGGCCGCCAAGCGCCAGGGGGCCGCCGCGGAGACCAGGGGGGCGGGGTGCGGCGGGTGCGGCGGGTACACCGGGAGCGCCTCCGTGGTGGGCTCGCAGCACGCCCCCCAGTCTTCTGGCTTCGTCGGCGGGGGATCTGTTGTGGTGGCGACGGTGTCGCATTCGGGCTTCCACTCCGTATTCTTTTTGCTCCGGGGACGGAAATAATCCAAACGCAGCCAGGCGGCCACGCGACCGTTGCTGTGCGGTCCCACAGGGCCTGTGACGGACACGGGCGGTGTCAAACTATTCGCCCATGGTCACCATCTTCGAGCTGGTGGTGATGACGGTGATGTGCAGACTCTTCCAGCTATGACTACGATATGTGCTGCCGCAGGTGTTACCAAACAGAGAAATGATGCTGTAAGTACTGCGGGCAAAACTGTGACCACTATGAGTACAGTGCGGGTGCGGCCGCAAGAAACCCTCGCAAGAAACCAAACCCTGAAGGCCCGTTCGCGAGGTGCACCTGGGGGGGGGGAAATCCGAGCACCCTGAACGCAGCAGCTTCTACAACGGCTGCGGGAAGACACCGCGAAGCGCGTGGAGCGATGAAACCCAGGATGCCCTGACGAAAAGCATACGGTTTCTTGATGCGCGCCCCCACTTTAGTACCGTGTCCAGCCGCAGTGCACGTAGCACCTCCACGCGGGATTATGTCCCAGCAGGTCGGTGCAGGTGCCTCCTTGCCCGCTGCTGGACTCGCGGTGGGCGGACGTGAGCTGGTAGGAGCGGCGGGAGCTGCGTCGATTGGCAAATCGGTGCCGCTGGTCGAATTTTTGTTCGCGCACCAATGCTGTGTAAGACACCGTACTCGGGAGCGGTCAAGAGGGGGGCGTCCAAGAGAGAGGGGGGGCGCAAATCATGGTCGGCGTCACGTGCGCGGCCCAGGGGGGGGGGCAGGGACGTATTGAAATAAGAAAAGGCGCCATCAAACTTGGGGAGATATCGTGGCACCCGCCATGACATCCCCCCCCCCTAGTCCTCACCCCCCTCTTGGCCGCACCCGACGTACGTTACCAAGCTGGCTTTGCGAGCGGCTGCCCGGGCCGGCCTGTCCGCCGCGTGAGCGGGTGCTGTCGGACGGGCACGACGGCGCGCTGCAGGTCGGCGCCGTGCGCGTCGCGCGCCCAGGGAGTGGTGCTGGAGGTTGGGCACGCTGCCAGGTGGGCAGTGCGAGCACGTGCCCACTGCTCCAGTTGCGATTTGATCCACCTTGCCGTTTGCCCACGCACCCCCAGTCAAGACCGCAATGGCATCTGCGGACATCCCGCCGTAAGCTATGACCATGCCGTGCGCGGCGCGCGTTGCCACCGGGCATAACTGGACGGCGCAACCTCGGACTATGGCGCTGTCCTTCTGCGGAGTGCGGCGCCTGTGTTGATTCCAGTGTCCCGCGCGCCGGATGGAACGAAATTCGTTGTGCATGCGCTGCAGGCGGCCCCCCAGCACGACAGAAGCATCTCCGCGCGTCCAACGGCCGACGGGCGCATCCTCGCCCCGGGTAGTCCGCCACGGATTTCAGGTAGCGATGGAAAGCGCTCGAGGGCTCAGTTGTGTCGGTGGCCGTCGTGGTGCGCATCCAGAAATTCAGCTTCTCCTGCTAGTCCCAGCTTGTCTGCGGAGTAGTAGCAGGGCCGTAAGTCGACGCGGGTTATGTCTGATATCGCGCGTGTGACAAGGCGCACATTGGTGTAGCAGCGCGGGCGCGGCGCCGGGCCAACGTCTGCCAGCCACCGCGCCCTTGGTGCTCGGAATCGTGACCTGCGCCAGGTATGCTGGAGGTGGAGTGGCGACCAATGCCCAGGAAGACACCAGCATGGCGAGTGCTGAGACAGCTTTTCGTCGCACCTCTTGCGGGGGTGGCGTGTGCGCGATGCGCTGTAGTCTCCTGAGGGCTATGTTGATCTTCTCATTTACGCTCTCAGTGAAGTGCTTTCGCTGAATTCCCGAATCGACCCCCAGAGCTTGGTCATGTAATGGTAGGTGGAGTTTGGTCGAACGTGAAAGGAAGGCACCATCGATGAATTGGTGGTAGGGCGGTCACCGACTCCAGCAGCGCCCATTCGAGCTCGATCTCGCTCATCTCTGAGCGCGTCCTCGCCGCGACGGCGCGGTCGTCAACGCGCGTGAAACGGATGGCTCGTGGACGCCAGTCCTGGATGCGCCTCGAGGCCGGCATCGGCGCCGCGGCCGTTCCCAGCGCAGAGGCAGGATCCTCCGAGGCAGGGGGGACTGTGCGTGGACAGGCTCCAAGGACACGAGCAGCCTCATCTCCACCCACCGCGTTTGATGTTTCCATGCGAACAAAATACTGTTGCACATTGTGTCTGGGTTTTCCAGCTCAACCCAAATTGCAGCGACGAGGTCGGGATCCACCCTGTCGCAGGCGGACGGGCAACGCCAGCTTGCGACGCGAAAGCGACGCGGAGTGCCTCTCGGGCGACAAACGATGCGCCGCCGCTGTCTTTTTTCAATTCAAAAACGATTGGGCCCCAAAAGGACCTCCAGGGCGCGCCTCTCGAGGAGCCCGCCCAGATTGCGACAGTAGGTGGGTGTCAGATAATCCACAAGCTGAGTAGCGCCATATGCGTGCCGAGCTCTGACCACGACGCTCGCCGCGGCATTGGGCCGCGGGCGGTCGATCGCAGCCGCGACCGCGCCTTCGTCCTCGGCCACGTGCACCTGTCGCCATTACAACAGCGTTTTTGGACGTTGCGAGCGCTCGGCGGCCAGA